AACTCAAAGACACTTCACATAAGGTAAAAAGGATAAGGTAATAAAAACAACACACTAAAAAATATAGATATATATATTACAGCACTCAACAAGGAATCAAACATTAGAAGCCGTTCTAAAAAGGTGGGTTTTGATCAGTGATTTGAAGTTTGATGGATCAGTACAGTCTCGCGATTGTGTTTGGGGAGAGAGTTCCAGAGGGAGAGGGCAGCAATGGAGAAGGCTCTGTCGCCCCAGGTACGATGCTTGGTCCTCAGTGGTGGAGACAGGTTGATGGACACAGCCAGTGGAGGTTCTGTAGAACAGGGGTGATGTGGTCATGGGAGCAAGTGAGCAGGCGAGCTGCAGAGTTCTGGATGTACTGAAGTTTATTAAGGACTTACCATACAAGATGCTGTTACAATAGTCTATTCTGGATGTGATGAAAGCGTGGATGAGGGTCTCAGCAGCAGAAGAGGAGAGTGAGGGGCAGAGGCGTGGGATGTTTTTCAGGTGGAAGAAGGCAGTTCTGGTGATTTAGTTGACATCACAAGGAGAGGTTGCTGTCGAAGATGACTCTGAGGTTGCGTATGTGTGGGACGGAGACAGAGTGGTACTGTCAGTGGTGAGTCAGAGGTTGTTCGTGTTTTTGATGAGAGATTTGTCACAGTTGAGTTTGAGGAAGTTGGCATGGATCCAGGATTTGATTTCAGTGAGGCAGTGTGTCAGAGTGGGTTGTGGGGGTTGTGGATTTATTGGAGATGTAGAGCTGGACGTCATCAGTATAGCAGTAGAAGTGGAGACCATGATGGCGAATGAGGTTACCAAGGGGGAGAATGTACAGGATGAACAGGAGAGGACCAAGCACTGAACCCTGGGGGACGCCTTGGGACAGGGGAGCAGTGGAGGAGGTGCAGTTGTTGATATTGATGAACCGTTGTCTGTTTGTGACATATGACCTTAGCCAGGAGAGGGCACTACCAGTGATGTTGAGGGAAGACTCAAGGCAGGAGAGAAGAATGGTGTGGTTGATAGTTTTAAAAGCTGCAGTGAAGTCCAGGAGGATGAGAATGTTGAAGTGACCAGAGTCTGAGGAGAGGACGAGGTTGTTGATGACTTTGAGGAGGGCTTTTTCTGTGCTGTGTTGTGAGCAAAAACTTGATTGAAATGGTTCAAACAGGTCATTGGAAATGAGGTGGGCTTTGAGTTGGGAGGCAACAACACGTTCCATTATTTTTGACAGAAAGGGAAGATTGGAGATGGGCCGGAAATTGCTCATGGTGTCGGGGTTAAGACCAGGTTTTTTAAGGATGGGATTGACAGCAGCTTTTGAGTGTTTGGAGGACAGAGCCAGTGCTGAAGGAGGAATTAACAATTTCTGTGACGAGGGAGGAGATGATAATAATAATTAATTTATTGATTGTTTTGCATTAATTATTTAAATCTGCAAAGTAACACAAATGTATCAAATAAATGTAGAAGAGTAAAAAGCACAACATTTGTATTATTGATTATAATTATTACCATATACAATAATATTTTATTTCATTATTAAAACAATGCAATTAAACATATAACATATACAGGGTATATGTTTCATGTACTAATTTCAGTATAGCGCATTTATGGAGGATAACAGTTACTAAATTGTCAATAAATACAGAAATTGATATAAATAAAAATAGAAATAATGAAAATAAATAGTAAAATGCATAAATAAATGTATACGTGTTTGTAATAATGGGGATATAAAAAATATTAAATCTTAATTGTATTTCTACATTATAAATATGAAGAATGAATTAATGTTGAATTAAATAAATGTAAAATAAATTGAATAAAATTCCCTTATATTCTGATTAATGAACATTTATTAGATTTATAAATGTACATATTTATTTTATTGTATTTATTTCAGCATTTCTCTGTGTATTTATTTTTTAATTCTTTCATTTATGATTAAGTCAATTTTCATCCTATAGGGTTGGAGACCAGAGGGATGTGCTGCTTGCTGTGTTTGTTTGCTGGCAGGTCAAGTGGACACCTAACAGTTAGCTGTCCATATGGACTGTGTGAGTGTGTCTATCTCGACCTGCAGACTGATCCAGATAATCTTTGTAGGATTAAAGCCATGTCCCAGAGGAGGAAGACATACTACACTGCCTGCATTCGTCTTATAAAGCTCCTGCAACCTTTCAGGTAATGTCTGCTTTATTGTCTCTCAGCTGGGTTTACAACAAGGGTGAATATTCCTAATAAGTGCAGTCCTGTGTCTGTAGACTGTACATTAACTCCATCTGTGACTTCAGTTGAGGGCTGGGTGCACAGTATCTGTAAACAAGTCTTGCAAGGGGTGTTTCTCAAAAGGTTTAATCAAAGTGCCAAAGAAAAAAAGACTAGACACAAATGCTACAGCTTGTAGGCTAAGCAGAAGATTTATTGTCAGTTTAAGTGTACAAATTACCATGGCAACACGTCCCACTCTAACGTGATAGACAATAATGTTAATACTAATAATAGATATGTTGGTTTGCTTCCCTGTCAGCCTAGCATTACATTTGTGTGTTGTTCTTAGACTGTATCAGGTGATGAAATCGCACTAAGTGAGTAATAAATATAAAACAATCCCTCATTAGCACTCAGTAGGTGTGGTTTTGTGTATTACAGGCTGATAATGACCAAACTGGTCATATTGAATTCAATAAAGCATAGCTGTCTCAATTTTAACAAGTCATTGTTGGTACTGTACAGTGGGGATTACATGAGTTAAATGTCTCAGTTCAAACATACAGTATCTAACATACAGTATATTAAGAGGACTCACAGAATCAGCTCTGCAAGTATTCATATAACAGTAGAGCTGCAAAGATTAGTCAATTAATTGATCTGACGACTGACAGGAGTTTCAACTATTTGGAAACAATTTTTTGTAAGAAAAAAATACCCAAATTCTCTGGTTTCAGCTCTTCCATTGTGAGGTCTTTATTTAATTGTAAACTGAGAAGCTTTGTACTGTTGATCGGACAAAAACAACAACTTGGACTGGGATGGATGTCATTTTTTGTATTTTTCTGAACTTTTTTTTTTTAACCAAATGATTAAACAATAACTCAAGAAAATACTCAGATTAAAAACATTTGTTAGTTGCTATCACGGCTAGAGTTTCGACCAGACCCAGGATGAGCAGTTTAATCGAACTTTATTCCACACACACGGGGAGGGATGAGGGGCGGCCACAGCAGGAACTGGCAGGTGAAATGGCTGAGAGACTGGAAACACGGAGGCACAGGTGAGCTGACTCAGGAAACTGCACAGGAGGGACCCTGGAGCACAGGAGAGAAAAGGTTAAACTTGGGGAGCAGCGGCAGGCAAATTCACAGTTAAACTTTGGTAGAGTAGCATAAGACACTCAAAAGGGGGCCACGAAAGTTATCCACTTAAGTTGGCTGAAAACAATCTGGGCGCGGGGGGATGAAAGGATGACACGGCGTTCTTGAAGTCAGGACTGGATGAAATGATTGAGAGCAGAGGTGAGGACAGCACACAGGTGAGGTGAGTGGAGGCCGCACCCTCAGACACACACAGGGAAGGAGGAGGAGCAAGGGAGCAGGAGGGGAGCAGAGCCATGACAGTAGCAGCTCTAAACAACAAGGAAAAGTCTCAAAATACAAAAGAGCTGCAATTGGGTTTATCATTTAAGGTTTGAGAGTTTATACGACAAAAAAAGTAATCTGAAGCGCCACTTTCTTATTCTTACTGGTTTTAACAAAATCATTGTCTTTTTTTCAACAGCTGCTGACTGTAATGCCTCCCACAAAGACCTCTAACCACTGGACGTTATCAGAGCTCCTTGGACAGCCGAGGCTGTTAGGGTTCGGAGCTCTGCTGACATGGTTGGTCCTCTTCCATCTCCTTGTGAACGTTTGGCTCCTCTGCATCTTCACCAGTCTCTTGGTGGTACTCGGGGGTTGGCTTGGGTCCCGTGCCGTACTAGATGCAAACAGCCTTCTCCACTTGGAACACTTTTTGCCTCTTGGCAAAGTGAACCCACCTCTGTATTTACCTGAACATGAGTGGAGGTTGAACCATGAGATCCACAGTGCTGTCCACAAAGCGGTGCGTGACTTTGTGTCCTCGTGGTATCGCACTCTGCTGCCAGAGGTGGAGGGGGAGTTTGAACGAGCGGTGCGTAATTCGATGCTGGAGTCAGTAATGGAGCTGAAGAGGCGTGCTCAACAAGTGGACAGAAAAGCCCTGGTTCAACGGCTGCTAGAGCTATATGGCTGTCACCTGCAGAACTACATGGTGGCAAGACAGAGACAGTCAACACAAAAGAAGAGTATTAGTCTCTGGCAGCTCTACAGTGAAGTAGAAACCCATCACCCAGCTGTGAGCAGTGCAGTCACAGAGCTCAGCTACTCAAGAGCTCTAGTTAACCTCGTCTTAAATGTGCTTGTTCCATACCCTCAGATGGAAACCAGGACTGGAGGTTACGTGATTACAGAACTCATCACCTGCAACATGCTGTTACCGCTCATAAGCAGGGTATCTGATCCCGACTGGCTCAACCAGACCATTGTAGACATAATCACCAGATCCAGAGAACCACAGGAAATCAGTGTGGAAGAGCTCCCAGAGGCTGCACTATACAGATGTCAGCTCCAGCAGGAATCCTGGACCACGTGCAAGTCCCTGTCTTCTTCTGATCTTACCAGCCAAAGCACCTCTGAAGTCGATGATCTACAGAGCCAGAGTACACTCTGTGAGAAGGATTCCTCACAGAGCAGCATGGTTAGCCTGATGTCTGCTGGGAAAGTAGAAAATTGCCATACAGGTTTGCTCACACCATGCAAAGTGAACTGCTGTTCACTCACATCTGACCGTTACTCCCACTCACCAGAGTCCAAAATGATTTCACTAGACTCCCTAATTCACTCAGACTCTGAAGATGAGCTGACAGGAGGCTTTTGTGACTGTGGTCCTCCAACAAACTTCTGCAACGTGATCACTGCGAAGGAAGATGAGGCCCCCGGCTGCTTCGGCCCTCTGAAAACACTTGCGTTGAAGGTGGCGGTGCCCGAGGACTCCCAATGGCCGGCGGGTATAGCCCAAGAGAAATCCCCAACTTGTCCTCCAAGAAGACTTTGTCTAACCACTTGTAACTTTGATACCCCCAATAACCAAGCTGCATCTTTGAGCATCCAGAATGTGCAAATTTCTGGCACTGTCACTGCGAAGGAACAGCGTGGCACAGGCTCTCATCCCTATACGCTCTACACTGTGCAGGTAATGCCACCTCATGCTTCCTCTGACTGATATTTGAGTATGTATTATTGATCACCAAACATCAACCCCCACTTTCTGTTTTACAGTTTGAGACAGTGGCTGAAGCTGAAAACAGTGACTCCCTGAAACTGGTGTCCTGTCACACTGTTAACCGGAGATACAGCGAGTTCCTCAACTTGCAAACACGTTTAGAGGAAAAGCCTGAAGTCAAGAAAGTTATCAAGAGTAAGAAACAATCCTCTGCTTCAATTCACTGTGAAACCTTAGTATACCAAGACAGATACATAGTTACTGTTGTGGATTTCAGATGTCAAAGGTCCAAAGAAAATGTTCCCTGACCTCCCATTTGGCAATGCCGACAACGACAAGGTCGAAGCTCGTAAAAGCCAACTGGATACTTTCCTTAAAGTAGGTATTAGGGTCGTAACTCCAGTAAATAAATGGTTTCTGTGGTTCTGTAATTTGATTGATTAGATTTTTTTCTCTAGCAACTGAGCAGTATTCCCGAGACATCCAACAGTGAGGACATGCAGGAGTTTATGGCTCTAAACTCAGATGTTTGCACATATTTTGGAAGAAGGCCGTTTGTCAAGTCAAGAATTGATAAGGTGAGAAAGAATCTACATCCCGGAGATCTTGTGAAGCCAGACTGTGACAGTTTTCATGATCGTTTGGCATTCCTTTGATAAAATGAGGGGGAAATGAACACACTCAAGATAAAAGTAAGAATTTGAGGAAATACATTTATTCTCTTTCTTGCCAAGAGTAAGATGATACCACTCTCATATCTGTCAGCTTAGCTTAGCATGAAGACTGGAAGAAATGGGAACAGTTTGCCTGGTTCTGTCCAATGGGAACCAAATCTACCTACCAGTACCTCTAAAGCTCACTATAGATTACATTTTTCAGTAAGGGGAATTTAATTGTCTCATGTCTTCTCTGACTTGATCAACATTAAAGATGATGGAAAATGCTTTAGACACCTTGAAGACAGCTTTCCCTCATCCTGAGCCCCTCAGTCCAACAGAAGAGCTTGAAGGAGATGCTGATGGAAGAACAATGGACAACAGAAAGTACAGGTCAGAACTTTGTTTCAGTCATTTTTGCTATGTGACCCCTTAATAACAATGCTGTATCATTTTGTGACCCTGTCATCACAGTTTGCATTTGCCTATGAGCTGTGACTGGTTCAACCAAAGACTACTTTCCACTCTGAGATTGAGTCATTTGAATAGCGTTATCGATGGATTTTCTTTTGTATCCCCTTATTCTTATTTTGAAACCACTGCCTAACCTAAAGGTTACAAACCACTGGTCATGCTTCAATGTCACAACAATCAATTCAAACAGTGCAGGATGTTAAAACATCACAAAACACACATTAAATTATTTTGTTTCTCTGGTGTTTTTATGATTTTGTAAGTGATCTTCTCTTTTTTGACTGTAATGCAACATTTTCTGGTTTTGTGTTTCATGCATCAGGAGGCTTATGTTCCCAAGCAAAATCTCCCCATCTCTCAATATACCTGACCTACATCCTAAAGTGACATACTGCTTTAGTGAAGGCAGTGCTGTAAGTTACCATACTGTATTTACCATCTCTGATTGATACATGTGTGTTTGAAATGGATACAGGAAACAACTGACATGTTTGCGTCTTTCATTATGGTTCCTTAGGTCCTCAATGGCATGTCACTGTCTAGCCTGGAGAGCTTTGTCGAAGAGCAGGAAAGACTTTTATGTGGGCTGAATGGGAAAGAGACATCGAAACAGAGCTGTGAGCCGCCTGGCAAAGACAAGAAGACCTCAGGGAAGACTCATGGGACAGGTTAATACTCATACAGCAGTCTTGTCTTAGTTTGTTTTATCCAAAATGTCCATAAGGAGACCTCAAGAAGCAACATGCAGTAACACAGCATGACCACTTGGGTGCAGCAAAACTATACTGTTAGTTGGGACATTTGCTGAATATTCCTTGTAGTTCCCTTCCACCATTGATGTGTTTTGTCTGTATAGTATATCATATGTGTCCCACTGTGTTCTGTGTACTGCAGATACAGCTGTGGCAGATGTTGCTTTGAACATTTTGTGTCTGCTGATGAAGGACCAGTGGAGTTGGCTGTGCACAGAGAACATACAGAAGACCATCAGGCTGCTCTTTGGTACCTTTATTGAGAGGTAGGAGTCTCTTCTCAGCTTCTGTGCTGATTTTATTGTGTGTATAGTGTGTATTTTGATAATGTATATTATTATTGTTACATATTACTTATATATGAAATATGTGTCTGCAGACCTATTTTACTAGCAGGTGACATTGTGGCACATTATTTTTCTATCATACAGCTGAAGATCCAGATGCTGGGTCCTCTTCTAGTTTAAGACACAGGTTTATGAGACACAATGTGGTTTGTGACACATGAGTGCTGCATGACATTCTCTCAGATTGCCTTTCAAAATATTTTTTTTTCTTTAAATGTTTATTCCTTTCTGGGAATATATAATTACCACAGGGCTTGTTTTTACCACACAGTCTGTGGGAACTGTGCTTGTCTAATCTCTTGTGTTTTGTTGTTGTTAACTGATTATGCTGGCCTCCATTTTTGGACTTGACATATACCTCTGGGAGTTTTAAGGTCCACTAAGCATGTCAGTAAATAATGCTCATGCTCATGCAATGGTTTATAGAGATTTAAAATTATTTATTTGTGTTTATTCCCCTTGTGTGCATGTCTTTCATACTCCTGATCAGTTAAAGCATGTTTCCATGTGGCTGATATTTAGTAGAAAAAACAGACAACAGTATTACATTAAACTACTGATTCTATCTCAGGTGGTTGGATGTAGGAGTTGCCCACCTTACCAGTGCCCCCTGTTGGGTTATTTACCTACAAGTGCTGCAGGAAGCTGTATGGCCAGGCGGCACGCTGCCTGCCCAACCACGGCCAGAGCGTAGTGCTGCAGAAAGAGAGGAAACAAAAGAGCAATGTCTGGACTGTCTAATGCAGCTGCTTCCAGGTACGTAGCAGCTGTTAGATTCAGACTGTAGCTGTTTCAATGCTCCTTAAATGCGATTTTTATTTGCAAGGCTCCTGAAGCTGAGTTGTCCTTTTGGGTTTGTTACATTATTTGTGCCTAAATAGAGCTTATCACTGACATGCTGGGAAGTGAAAAGTACAGACTGAGCTTGGAGACCATGCTGGAGTCTTTACAGGACCATCAGATAAACAAGTGAGTCAACAACCAAACTGTCGGGTAAACACACATCTGATTTTGCTATTTTAGGACTGCTACACTCAGTAGCTTAGGAGCTGTATCAATAGTGTATACAGAACGAGTATTTATCTGGTTATCACACTAAACAGTATAACTACAAAAGGTGTAACGAAAAGCCTTCATCTATATTTGGATTGCACCGAAAGTTGGTAATCTGCTTCATTTTCTGCCTTAAATTGTTTTCTATACTGCCGCTACGATGAGTAAAAATGATGATATGTATACATATATCATCATTTACTCAGTATATTAAATATTAAGTATACTGGGCTAAAATTAAGCTAAACTGGTCATGCTCCAGGTGGAAATTCAAAGGGAAAACAGAATGAGAAGTTAGTGAACAAATACAAGTCAGAATTGCACTGGGCCATATTTCATGATTTTCTTGATGATAAGTGGAGGTTGTGTTTATAGTGAGTGGAGGCTCAGTTGTCTCTGTTGAAAAATGTGATAGCTATTGACAAAACAGGGCCATAATAACTCTTGGGGCCCTACTGCATAAGATAAAGAAAAGGAGATTTGTGCCTGCAAGATTAAAATAAATGTGGTTTGAATGAAGAAATAAGAAGGCTGTTGACAAAATCTGAAAAGCTCCCTTGGCCTGTTGGCAAGCACTTTTAAGACAATTTGTAAACCCTCAGTTCTTTTTTCAATATCTGATCATGAGGTCAAAATTAGGAACACTCAAAGAAAAATATATTTTATGACCCTACACTACAATGTTCATGTTTAAGATAGAATTTAATACATCTGCTGTATCTGAATAATTTTCATATTCCATATTACCCATATAAACATAAGTAACAGCTAATGTCAGTCAGTCATTAACCCTGTTTGTGTGTTTATGTGCAGGCATCTGATCTACTGCATGTGTGACCTGCTGCTGGAGTTTCTGATCCCTGAGTCGTGTGATGACGCCTTCCAGAGGTCTCTGCTGCTAAACCTGGCCAAAGACGCAGAGAAAGACAATCCTCACATGTGATTAGCACATGATAACACTCTGCTGCCTCACAGTTGTAAGCAATTGGTGGATAATGAGCAGAATATGTGTGTATTGTGATGTATTCATAATGACCTGTTGTCTCTGGAGTCCACTGGGTGATGACTGGGATGACTGTGTGCAGTCACATTAGAATTACGTGGCTTCATCTTGTTTCGGGAATTCATAATAAACTCCCATTCCTTCTGACACTGGGTATCATAAAGATGAGAAGGATGAAAAGTGTGTTTATATTTTTGACACAGTCATATGGTCTGTTCTTGTTTATCGTTTTTATTGATTCATTCATCAAGATTTTTATGTTGCACAAGCCTGGTGATATTTTTTATATTTCTAAATCCTCACTTGCTTTGTTGAACTGTTTGAGGGCTTTAAAATATATTCATTATATAAGATTTTATATAAGGCTTTTAATCTATCCTTTATTCAAGTTCGGTATCTTACACTTCTCAATGCAATTAGTGCCTTCAGCTGAGCACTGTGATAGCTATCAGTGAAACCAGCTGTGTGAAGGAGGGGTTAAAGCTATACTGTATATGATTTAGTTCCTGTCAGTTTCACAAAGAATCTGATTAACTCTGATGATCATCTGATAGTTTAGATTGATATAATTTAAAAAACTGATGCCCTGAATCAGTAAATGTATTAAATGTAAGAGCTGAATCCTCATTTCTTCATATAAAATGATTGTCACACAGATGTTATTGTGTTTGGTGAGGTGTTTTATCTGTATTTACTTCTCCACTTCTCCAAACTATGAGTGTTTTCCTACTCGTAATCCAGTTTTGATGAGCAGATTCAAGCCAGAATTTGTGCACATACGCTCTCACTAATGAGAGGTAGCCATTCCAAGTTCAACATGTTACAGAAAACCACATTTTAAATGAGGTTCTTCTATTTAGATTAAAGTTTAATCTGGTTCTCATACTCTCTTGAGTGTTGGTTGTAACTTTTAACTTTTGGTCTGATGCTAAGGTAACTTTGTTCAGTGAATAGACAACATGTAAGGTCATCAGAAAACTTTCAGTATGTTCACTTATGCCGAACAACCAGGGACTGTTTGCACACTGCTACTCAGGTTATCTATTTTATTTTGATAGTGTGTTTTCATTAGTGTGTCTATACAAGAGCATATTTCATTCTAGCACATATATTTAGTTTTTTGCATAGTGTAGCTTTAAAGTAAAACTTGTCACAATAAGAGTTTGTATTGGCTGTGACGTTTTCAACAACTGTGTGGGAACCATCCTTGAATGAATGAATCAGTCAGAGCTTCATACTGGGAGTACTATGTGTGAAAAGAGTTTAAGATTTGACTCGTGTGCTTTCAATAATGATTCCACCAAGATCCCAGACTGAAATTTCATCAATAAAAGAGGATTTAGCAAAGTGAGTGCCGGCGGTGTTATAGTCTTCCCATGATCTTTTGATCCTGAGCTGCCTTTGAAAAATACTCACTGCTTCATAGACAGTCTATTCTCTTTGATGAGGCTGCAAGAGTGTGAAAGATTAACACCTCTCCGCATGAGTTATTAAAGCGCGGTGAAAAATTTTCCTTTTGAATTTGACTTAAGTAGCAAATTTAGAGAAAAGTGGAACTAAATCTCCAGCATCGATGACGTGTTTCCAAATGGCAACATAACTCAGTTTAACATGAAAAACATTTTCTCCCCCAGATATACAAAGCAATGTTTGCTCAAATTCATTAAATTCACATTATTTTTGTCCATTTCAGGACCTCCAATACTATACAAGCATTGGCAAAACTTCAAGTGGAACTAAGATTGAGATTCTGGGATATATAATATACTATGCCAATGCAGTATTGGCATTTATGCTTTGTAAAATTATGGTTGTTAAGTATGTCAGTCAAAATTATCTTAAACTATATATATATACATTATATTTCAGCCTGATAGAAATCCATCTTAATTGTGCTAAACAGCAGTGTCTCGCTGTGTGTCCTTTGCAAAATGAAAACACTGTCCGCCAGTGTGATAATATTTCTCAGGACACTTTTCATAGAGCCGGTCTTGACCGTACTCATAAAATAAGTCACTTTATTATAAACACGCTCAAAGAGATCTGATGAAGTTAGCATCACCATGCCACAGTGCAGAAAGTGCCACAGTTTAAGAGACACTGATCTGTTTAATGCGAAGGAAAATATAAATACAAGAGGACATACAATAAAATGCAAGAATTCAATACAATAGCTCTGCAGTAGCTTCTTTGTGAAGCTTTAAAATGGCACTGTGTCCAAAAGGTGACATAGGGGTGGACACAATACCCACACAATCCAAACATCTAACCTTCTCGTTTACCTGATGCTGACTTTCACACGCTGTGCAGGAACCTCTATCAGATGTCAGTGTTTAAGTCTGCTCTCTTTGTTTCCACTTGCAGTTCAGAAGGACTTCATAAATACGATCTTAGGAACATTTAGCACAACTCACTTCCTTTCTCATGATATCATGGGCTGATACTGGCGAGCTCCCACCTCCTGTCTCATGCTTTGGGACTTCACTGGCAGCCAGAGGAGACAAAAACCCTCAAGCTGCATTGATGGTGGCCCCATACGTCTCAAAGTCAAAGCAGCTGTATTTTCACCACCAATCGCTCAATGGTACAAACATCTGTCTCAGATGTTTATTTTTAATTTATCAGCTGCTAATAAAGAATTAATTGACTAATTTAAACAGTTTTTAGGAATTTATTATTTCAAGAAAAATATCTTACATTTGTTTAATATCGTTAACAAACTCAACTACTAATATCATCCCCCTCCCTCATTGTCATCTTTAGCTGAACTTGGATAATGCAATGTGCTCTGTGAATTTAAAACTGAAACAGACATTTATTTACTTAATAACTTTAGTGATCCCCTGACTTTTCCTCTGTAGCGCCTTAATTTGTCCAATAGACCATACTTTGGTTTATAACCAAATATTAGCAAAACTAATTAATCCCCATCAGCCTCAGCTGTACTTTGTTTAGTGCTAATTAGTAAATGTTATCCCAAACTAAGATGTTGAAAGTGGTATACCAGCTTAGCATTAGCATGTTAGCATTGTCATTGTGAGTGTGATAGCATGTTGATGTAAACATTTAGCTTAAAGCACTGCTGTTCACTTTCTCTGCTTTTAGAAATAGGGCAGAAAATACCTGAATAGAAATACCGATGGATGTACTGTACTGACTGTAACCAGGGCCATGTTGCTGTTGTTGTACAAACTCCTTCTTAACGAATCATGGTCTTCAGTGTCACAGGGTGTCAACACTTGAACCAAAAAGGTGTTAATGTGGCCTGTTTTATCTCACTATTTACTGTCTGCATTCAGGCCATAAGGGATGTTGTTAATTGAAGCTGTTTTGACTGTGAACCTTTGAAGCAGATGTCCTGTCTGTTTGGGCTGTGGAAGGCGTCTGTCCTCTGGAGATGAATAAAAGCGATTAATAAGAATCTGCTCTCAATGATGCGCAGAGACATGTACCATTAACATCATGATGATGATGGTGATGATGAGCTGGAATCCCGATGATTCCTCACGGTGCCAAACAACACATGTGCAGTACATGTTTGAAATATTTAGGACGACAGCCAGACATGACACTTCGTTCACTGACCACAGAGTCCCACCTTTAGACCACAGTGCTGACAGTCCATCTAAAGCAGGACCAGCAGCTGCAGTATCATGAAGTGAGTAGGTTTTATGGGGGAATTCCACCTTATAAAGATGAATGTACACACAGATGTCGCGATTACTCAGAGCAGACGAGTATCTCCAGCTATGTCTTTTGAGGTCAAATTTTCCCATAAAAATCGCAGAGCATAATTAAAAACAGGATTATATTTGAGTCTTTGCAGATCGCCAGTGTTGTCATTTACAATAATCTCCAAAAACAATGTCAGAATATGACTGACACAGAAACACACAAATATCTCCTGGTGTAAGCGTGTGTAGCCGCAGATTCTAGCATCTGACCTTTAGATGAAGCGAATCTGGTTCCTGTTAGTGGTGTGTCCTCTGCTGCACAGTGCAGATGTGCAGTGAGGCCTTTAAGGAACTCTGACACCCCGCCTTAGTGCCCTACTTCCATCTACTTAACTGGAAAAACTAGGATGACCAAGTTTTCTGGAAAACAACCAAAATTTTCAGTTGCAATATTACTTTATCCAATTGCAATCCTCCCTCCTATACTCCACCCTTGTCCTATTTTATTCAACTGTTTGACCAGTAAGGTCAAAGAGAATAAGTAGCGTGAGATCCGGACAGAGAGGTAGGCAACTGTGCTGTGAGTAAGCTCGCATTCTGTGGTTTTATGAGATTCAAAAATTCACTCTGATAAGAGAAACACAATCCTTTTGGGTTGGAAAGAGTGAAACTGTGATATTGACCTCTTCTTGATCCCACCTTGGGACAGCTGTCTGAGTCAAACCATCAGTCACTCAGTTCTGTTAACTGTGTATGTCTGACCTCTTGATCAGTCCCTTGAGGGTTTCATCAGGAGTCTCTGCCAGGTCAACATGACATTTTAAAACCTATTGATTAATAGTACATCTCCACAGATCCTGTGTTTTTTTTTTTTTTAACAATTTGCAGCAATCAGAATCAGGATTTGTCAATAAGGACCTTGAGTCCGTACTTAAAAACTATCAATTCAAAGACTTGAAGGTCCAGTGTGTAACATTTAGGATGATCTACTGGCAGAAATATTCATAGCTATAAAACCTAGCTATGTTTAATCACCTGAATATAGGATCTGTTATGTTTTCTGTACCTTAGAATGAGCCTTTAAATCCATGAATGCTGCCATGTTGAACCATGTTTCTACAGTAGCTCAGAAGGGACAAACCAAACAGAATTTACCAGCTAATGACAGCTAAACAATGAGCTGAAACTCACCATAAAGCACCATAAAGCCCACGAGTGACACCCTTTCACATTACACATGGTCATTTCAGTTACTGAAATATCGATTATAGCTGCTTTAACATACTAAAATATACAGTACAATGGGGTTTGCCTCCTTGGAGCACTTTGATGTGATGGTGCTTTGAAAACTTAATTTCAAAATGCTTACCTTACGGTAATTATTATGAGGGGACAGCAGTCACCTTCACAACCATGTTTGTATTTTTGATGTAGTGTCTTTTACCATGTTCCATTATTTTGTCCAATGTAACTGTGTTGCCAATTTTAGACCTGTGAGGTCCAGACTGACCAAAGAATGTCCAAAAAACAAGTTGTTGTTGTTTTTCTTCATCCCCTGAAGGGAAAATTCTCTGCTCAGTCCTTACTTTTCATGGCAACTCGGGTCAGCAAGTGCAGAGTCGCCCTGGTGCTGCGGAGGAGTCAGCTCCTTGCTCAAAGATACTTCAGTAGGGTGAATGCTCACTGCCGCAGGGGGTTGAAACAAAGGGGAAGTCCAGTTGAGACAAAATGTACTTACTGCGGCTCCCTACCAGTCAAAACAGACATTTTGACAGACATTTCTTGCTGAGGTCAAGGTGCTCTGTTTGGTATGTGTTTCAAGGGTGGGATGTTTTTGAACGTTTGCCTCTTCCACAAATTACCATGTCAGTGTTCTCAATATAGTGCAAGTTACTGCAGGTTTGGTGAAGATATTTGTATCTTAACTGCTTACTCTGTACTGTGTAATTAGTGGCTGTCATGGGCAGGTTGGGCACCAACAGGATGCACACTGTCCAACTTACACAACTCCTGTTTTTACTTTTTTACGACAGGCATGTGCCAGGGACTGACCTTAGGTGTCTTTATGGAAAAACCTGCATCACAGACTATGCCACTGGTTTGCAACATTTTTAGCTTTTGATCCTTTATAGCCAAACTATGCCTTACTGTTACTCCTCGTTGCAGGTAGCAATGTTTGTTTAGACTTGTGTTTGCTCCTTATTATAATAATTGTTATATTGTAATTTAGAGTCACAAAGATGTAAAACTCTCCAGTATTTTATAAGAAGAGAGCAAAGGTTTAAGAAAAGTCCGACAGGATAAATATAATTTTGTCTATATTTTCTATCCTTTGAGGGCTCCTCTCCACTGGACTATGCAGCAGCAGTTAGAATAAACATATACAGTAGTTATAGTTACAGTACATAAAGTAAAATGCACTTAAAATCTACATTGGCTCATGATAGTAAACACATATCCATCTCTGTCTCAGCGATCACTTGCACAGTATCTTTGCTGAAATGCTAAAACATTGTTTTTCTTTCTTTGTGTCATAGTGAGTAACAAGCAAATAACTGCTGCCAAATTAGATGTCAAAACTGTTGAAAAACTAAAGTTAAAGGACTGCAGTTGAGGGGTCTTTCTTTCTGTTTGTATTTCACTGAACCACTTAAGAGATCTCAACTCTGAGATGGATTACATTTTTTAAGCTCAAAACTTAAACTAAAACTCTGAGTTTAAATAATAAATAATAAATAAATAATAATAATAAATTCTCTGAATCTGAGTGGAAAAACTTTGCTGTTTTTGTTATCTCAATAATTCAGTGCAATACTCCAATGAGCCATACAAGGTAAAACCCGCTCTTTTTGTGGACTAACACATCTGAGCTGTGTGTTCATGCCACTCTTCCGTTGTTGTTTTTCATCTGCCAACATGCATTATGTATACTTTTACAGCTGCTGACAATACCATACCGGCATTACAGAGAAATATCTTGCATGCACAGATTGTGTTGCAGCTTCTTGACAGCAGCTGTCTCAGGGTGATGAAACGAAGCATGTCAGTGTGAATTCTCTTTTTCACCTGTGAATGGGCGATAGGGGAGAGGGGTGTCCCTCCACATTTAACATTATGCAACATGCTCGTAAGGTTTTTTCCTCTCCCTCAGTACACTTTCTTTTAACATGATAGTAGTTACGGGCTGTACCTCAAAGGAAGTGTAAAAAGTGACACCACCTGTCGTTTTAATAACTAGCCTTTGTAAGCCCTGGGCAAAGGCCAAGCTTATGCTCAGAGTCTTCTCTGTTTAAACAGGTACAACATGGTAATATGGCTGCCACAGGGCTC